ATTTTTCCGTCTCAGTATTCGGAGGAGCAGCACAGCACTCGAAATTTCACTCTTTCAAAAAAACGAAATTCATGCGACATTAACCGTGTTTGAAAATTCTACGTCGAAAATTCTTTTATCTCACATGTCACTAGCTTGTCTTCGCGGAGTCAAACAACTGAGCCAAATGGCACTGTAAAGTGGAAATTCTGGTCTAACCATGCTCATTGTCGTAATCGTATTCCTCCTCATATGGCCAGAAGGCTCCGTGATGGTATGCGTGAAAATTAACATACAAAAAGTGATTGTCGCCTTTTAGTGAATGGTATAATCCGTTGCCACAGTGATAGTCCACATCCAGAATAAGCACCTGCTTATTTGAGAGGCATCAGAAACTACATTTTTTTGAATTTGAAATTTTATTTCTGAAAAAGCAGAAGTACTACATCTTTTACCTCCTGATAATCATACCTTATTAATGCCAAGCTTTTCAATGGCATATTTGGCTGCAATAGCGATATTGTTGAATATGCAAAATCCTTGTGGGAGCTTCCCGTAAGAATGATGGCCCGGCGGTCGAACAATAGCAAATCCATTGCCAATTCTGCAAGGTTATTTTTCTAGCAAGGTATTCTCTTATTCTTATTCTATTTCTTCACAATTCTAGCGCTTTTTCATAAAGCAAAAACAAATTGTTATCATTATTTGCGGATAAATCATAGCGATATTTTATCATTGGATGAAAAGTGAGGAAGAGAGGGGATGGGAGGCTGTTAAGGAGAACTTTTAGCTACCCAGTAATTTCATCTGATCAAACAATCAAAATGAAGAGCAGTGAGCGGGCAAATATTTTTTTGAAGATAAGTGGAATAAAATGCAAAAATAAAAAAAAAAAATGATGTGAAATCAAACCTGCCCTGAATATTGGCCTTCACGAAATCAATGACTCCGCCAACCACCAGGCGAGCAATCCTGACACTATCCGGACACAGCCAAAGCAGCTCATGACTTCGACAATAGTGTTCCAGCTGTTCAACTGTCTTCATTTCTTCGAGTTCTTCGATTAGCTCCTGTGGATGATTCAGGCGCAACTCCCAGTCCTCTGCGGGCCGAAGCTCAATCTGAACGGCTTTATTAAGCAGTTTTGTGAGCGCCCCAAATTAATGAGTAAAAAAATCCGAAATTTGGTGAGTCCTGACTGAAACTGAAACTACATGTCCATATTTCTGCTTTATTCTCTGATAGAGAGATGGACGATCCCGTCTGTCTTCAGAATGAGGCACGAGCTCGATCCAAAAGCTGTCTCGGAATTCCAGCTAAAAATTAGTAGTAGCAAAGGGGACGCCATATTACCCAACAGAAAGGCTTCCAAC